TTGAAGAATGACCGGTCAATCGAGCATCGTGTTTCTACAGCAAACACTTCCGCTGTCCGACTTCCGGTTTGATGATTGCAGAAACAGACGGGCACAAAAAGTTACGCGAACATAAATAAGCAAGAGAAAGAAACGATAGGAGGGAGAATTAAGAAAGCAGATGAAGTTTTGAATGGGGAAACGAGTTGGTGACAGCGAGGGTTGGGTGGCAAAACAGTATAAGTGATAGGGGATAGAACGGAATTGATGCAGGCTAGAATGATTCGGCAAGCAATGGATCACGCCTGTTAGACAGAAATTTGAATGAGCAATGAATTACTATATTAATTTATGCTAATAAAAATATGTCCATGTTTGCTAATATGTTTTCGTAATTCCTTTAGTTTTGAAGAAAAAATTACTATATTAATTTATGCTAATAAAAATATGTCCATGTTTATCCAAATTTTGCTAGTATTTTATTTTATATTGTTTGCTAATATGTTTACGTAATTCCTTTAGTTTTGAAGAAAATATATAAATATATATAAAATATAAAATGAATGAACGAAATAACTAAAGAAATTTATTTCTTCTTGAACTGTTTTTATTTTAGTACCCGTGTTAATCAATTTTTAATATAGTATAGTAGTTTCCAATAAAATTTCGCACCTCAATAATCCTTAACCCCTTGACCCACAATCGTCATGTTAATGTTTTTTAAATATAAATTAAATATTACTTTTCCGTTATCACTTTTTTAAACACTAAATTTTGTCTTTTCTTAATAAATTATTAACGATAAAGTAGTTTATCTTAAAGGGTAAATTTCAAGGAGTTAATACTGTCCAAGTAAAATGTCAGTATCAAATGCCTGTCTTCAAATATTAACAGAAATAAACGATTGCAATACAAGTGTGTAATTGAATGAAAATGAAGTTCAACGGAATCAAATGTCTCATGTAAACGGCTCCTGTCGTTTCCAGATTTTGAGTTCACGCTTTGCAACGATGTATTTTATATATGTTAATATTGGCTGCTTTCAAGCATTTCCTCGCGCAACAAGTCCAGTGTGCATCGATGACAGGATAAAAAGTTTTCGTATGGATTCCCGGCGCGCGTCTCTGCAAAGACGCAGAGATAGTAGAGAACAAATTTTCTACAGTAGTCTGTCGAGAACACAAGGATCAGAAAATCAATTGTTGGCTTTGTCAGCTGATCAATAGAACTGCATAAGGAAACGGATGCTTTCTCAACTGCATCCGCTGTAGTGTTACATTTGATATTCAATCACGTGGGTGTAAATAGTTGCTTCACTTATTTCCAATTAATGATCGAATGTGGGTGTAATCCGATTCTTAATAACTTGATTATAAAGTTCATTTTGTCTATTTAATAATTATTCTCTCGCATCGGAGGTGATGTGCAATTCGTTGAATGATGTTTTTCATATAAAAATTGAATAAAAATGAGTGAATCATATTTCAAATATTTTTTGTTGATATTCTTATTTAGAATATTTAGATTATTTAGGTTATTTAGATTATTTATTTAGATTTGATAGAAATTATTTTAAAGAAAATTTTTATCCTTCCTCAAATCAAGATCGAAAAAATTATTTTGTTTGTCCTAAACCAATAGTACTGTTTCCTTTAAAGTTACTTAAATTTCACAGAAACAAGCTAACTAATTGAAAAGAATTTAATTTTAGTTTCTTATAAATATTTATCGTCTGAAATTATTTTTTCAACGAAAGACAGAATCCAATTTCCACTGCCTACTTTTTCCTACGAAAACAGTTTACAAAATAGAACGTACTATCGATAAATATCAACATGCATGAGTCGAAGCTGGTGAAACTTTAAAATTTCATGACCAACGTTTGCGTTGAAAATTGCTACAGAAACAGAGTTTCATTCCTTACGAGAGTATGGGACGTGTCCGTAGAGTATTCTTTTATTATCATACATTTATCATATATATTATTCAAATATTATTAAAATTAAGAACTAATCGATTTAAAACTATTAAAAATATCTAAATACTTTAATAATTAACAATATATTGTACAAAGATAATACATTTTAGTAAAATCGTGTAAAATTGAACTTTGGATTATTCCAGTTGATCGAGATTCATATGGATTCATCGCTAACTAATACATAATGCACCTATACTATTCTATAAAGTTACGTTGGTTTACTTACGTAACTACTTCATTGAAACCAAACAACCAATTTACAAACTGATACCAATCGCAAGGGAATATAATAAACTTTGCATATAAATTACCCATTTAATCGTCAGCTTCGTAATTACAGTTTCAGATATATTTCTCCAATGCTATTACTAAACGATGACGAAATTAAAAAGTATTTAATCATAATCTCACTATTACAATCTAATCAAAACAGTAATAAAATCAGAAATTTCAACGAAATTCAGGAAAATTATACAGCTAACCCTCGATTTATACGGTAGATTGTACATAAGAACACAATTCATATTAAAAAGGAATACACATGTGATAACTTTAACAAATCCACATGGAACAGTATCATTTAATTTTTTTTGTACAATCAAAAATTGCATATATATATACAAATAAAAATTCATAAAACGAAAAATTAATGTAATTTTTGCATTTGTTATTTGAAGTTCTTCCGCTCTTCATCAACCGTGTTAAACTGAAATCGTACCATTTGACACAGTGTAAATTGTGCAGTGTAAATCGAGGGCCAAGTTTATATTTAAAAATTTCCATGCTTCTGTGTAATAGTGAAAATTTCATAAAAAAACAGTGCAGGATCATGTGGTTTATCATAACTTTCTAAACATATACTTAAACTGAATTAAATATGTCTATACGCAGTAGCTACTTAACATATAGAATAGTCGTGGGTGTAGTATTCTTCTGTATACGATAAAAATTCTATGTGCATCCTCTGGAGTATCGTCCAGATTCTAAAACTGTTATTGCAATGAAAAATGCGTGTCACGCGTATTATTAGAACACTCAAAAATCTACAGGAAGCATTGCCGAATACGTTGCGCGTGTTTAGTAACTCCCAACAGCAAAAGTATAATTAGTAAACCCACAAATATGCAAACTAAATACGAATTGTGTTCCACATTCCATATGAAATGTGTTCTTCAGACACACTCTGGAAATAGAAAATTGGTTTTCCTACAAAGGATTGTGTTACCTAACATACGTTAATTGCAAAATAAATAATTGTTGTTCATTTTTAAAAAGTAGTAAGAACACAGAGTTATAAATATTAATTGTTAATTATATTATAATTTACTATAGTACAACTAATTATTTTGGGAATAAGTAATACAATAGTTAAGGGTAATGCAATACTTGATAATATTCTATGCAGAACAAACTAATTTAGTATATATGTAAATTCGTCATTTTAATCTTTAAGTATGGACATGCAGTCTTACAGACTCCTATATAAAATATCGTGAAGTTTGAAACTAGTGAATGTTTCGTTATGCAATTAATATTATTATTTTTCTTTTTGATTCTCTCGTATATACCAGTTCCTGAAGCAGAACAAAGCTTTTAACCTGCATTTAGATTGATTTTATTAGTTTTTTTTTATGATTGCTCATATAGTTTGTATAGTTTGTATAATTCACAGAGTTTGGTAGAGTTCTGTTGTGTCTTTACAGAAAAATGTTAAAAAACCTGTTAACTGTTATAATTAATACTATTGCTATATAGAGGTATTTCAATAACTAAAAACGAAGAAATACAATAAATTTCTTTATTCGTTGCTATAAACGAGAATATTTAACACTAATCGATAACTTACTGCTTACTTTAAATACTTAAAGGTCAATAACAAATTTACAATGTATCATTTCGAAATATATAGGAAATGATTAATCCGAGCAGCAAATTTTTCTGTAAATTCGTTCCAAAAAGAACGCGATTTTGTTATCTTTAGTATTTCAATAAAATCCTCGTCGTTCATATTAAATCCATTATTAGAATTTTTATAAAAATATTTTCCTGTAGCAACGTTAGTAGATCCAGCCGGTTGTTTACACTTTGTCCGATTGTAAGTTAATATTGAGGAACGTGTAAATTTAACCTTTTGTTATATGAAAAATTCTATTTGAAACCGGAATACGTTGGTATGCGGTACTTATCCGCCAGGTTTCAATGAAGCTCACGTATCCTTTGCCTCTTTATACACGCGAGGTACTTAGGCACGCTGTTGAAGTTTTAATTAAGCCGATTCACCATGAAAGTGGCCGCGTTCTGATTATTTTAGACACCATTTTAAGAATCCTAATGAGACTCGCCCACATTAGAGTTTTCTGTAACCTGCACTTCAGCAGATTAAGTACGGCGGAAGCTCATTCGGAATTGTTGGCTGCAAAGGTCTCGTCAAATTAGGTGAATCACCCTGTACATTTAAGCGTCAAAGGTTTCATTTTAAGAATGCATTCCGTTCCTTCAAAGTGATATCTGGAATTAACTTAACTACATTGGAACGTGTAACTGCATATTGAGTGTAACATACCAATTTACATTTAAATGAACAAATGTAAAGAAACAACGAGAACATAGAAATGCTAGTTTGTTTTTATAAACACATTTATTAACCCCTTGAACTGAAATGACGAGTCTCGCTGGCACGTGCTTTCAGTGCGAAAACGGAGTTTACAAATTCTTTTACAAACATGCTGTATCGTAACTAATATAATTTTCTAATTTTCATAAATAAATTTAATTGAAACTGTAATATTTCAATTTTCTTGAAAATAATCGTGTTCACAGAGTTGCGACAGAATTAAGCAGGAACGTTTGATTCAAAATAAATCAAGAGGTTAAAGTGGAAATGAAATGCAATTTCATTCGATTTGATTAAATTTGTCATTTTCCCCTATTTTCAATACTTTTATGAATAAAATGTAATGATGTAAATTGGAAGTTAATGAAATTAAAAAATTTTTGTTATGATAAAGCTGTTTATCATTATGAATACCATTTGTTACAGGGTCTTGCTTGAGCTATGGCCACTCATGTTGGGGAGGTAAGCTTTTATTTATTTGAACAATAATAATAATAATGTTATTGCAGATAACAGTTTGCGTATTGTATCAGATCGCAAATAACTGACGTTGTTTATCAGCTTTATGCCCTTCCAAGAAAATTATAATTAACAGTCGTAATTTCCATTCATTTATTAACTCGTTTACAATTAATTACATATTACTTCCTGGAAAAATATATTTCCTCCGTCACATGTTGAAATCATTTATAGCTTAACACAATATAAATCATGCTGTCTGGTGCGATATAAGATTGATCATGCAAAGTACAGCACCTACTTTGGAAATGAATTATGACCATGACATCTGTTGCATACAATTCTCAAATCTGTATTAAAAATTAATTTCAGAAGACAGTGATATCTTCGCATAATTTATTTTGTTTTCTTTTTTCGCAAAACTTTATACCCTTTATTCATCCGATATTATAAAAATTTTCATGGGCGCAAATAAGTTTTTTGTTTTCATTCGATGATAAATACTTTTCTTCTCAAAACAACGACAAAAATGTCAATTGAAATTTATATGCTTTGTGGATTAACCGTTCTTCACATCAATTTCATATAAAAGCGCTTTTACCAGATATTATATTAAAAATACAATTCTGTGTATTCTACTTTCTGAAATTGAATACAGTAAAACCTTATTATATAAAACAGCGCAGTACGTTTTTCTCTGTATGCATGTCTGTAAATATATCTCCGATACTTGCGCATCTAATAATGGCACAGATCGTTTTACTAACGATACCACAAAGGGCTTCAACGTTTTCTTGTGACATAAATTTATGTTATTCAGAACGAAATACGCAACGAAATGTTTCATTCTTAAGCAATAATTGTTAAAGAATGTACACAAAATATTCAAAGGTTTTGTTACTCACAATCAAGAAGATAAAGCGAATATTACACTTTAGGAAACGAAAAGATTGAAAATGAAGAATTTTACAGAAATATTAATTCTATAAAATGAGAATAATTTTGGAAAATTTGTATGATTAATGCTGTCCTCCAAAACTGGTAATATTATAAGTTTTTAGATATGGGATTTAATTTAGTGGGAAATCATGTTAACAAATTAATGATTCCTTCAGTTTCAAAAATATTGAAAACTGATCACCCTAACATTTTTTTTAATGTGATTCTTTTGTGAGCGTGTTTCTTTATCATTTACATTCCAAATGGTAAGCAAATGATATAATTAAATATGCAAATATTGATGAAAATACACTATCTTATAAATCTATTTGAACCTATTATCTTATTAAATCTATTTTTCCTCAATTTTACTACATATTACAATATAATAATGTTCTATATATATATATATATATATAAAACAATATCACGCTAATATTACTATTCTCAATTAGCAGAAATAATAATTAATACACAAAATGTCGTTATTATAAAATCGAATTTATTCATAAATGTATCGAATAAATTGTAAATATTGTTCTTTTTTATAATACATACGTAGATCTATAATGTATTTCTATCGAGATCTTTTATATAATTGCAAAACTGAAATTTTCGAGTTATCAAAGCTTTTTGTCTAATAATAATAAAATAAAGAATTAGGTAATACGTACGTTTACGATGTTAACTATTTTCTAGGTCATGGCAAACGTAGCGGAGGACATAACAATGCTTATTTCGTTTCGACTAAAACGATGGACGATTTACAACAGGATGTCCCTTCACTGGCAAAGGAACAATGGGTGCTATCCCGTTTGATTGCTCGCCCTTTGATGTCTACGAAATACCGTGGAAGATGGGACCGACCATTCAAAATAAAGTCAAACTTTCCGCAACATTGGGAGAACGAAGGACTGAACGCACACGTGAACAGTGATACACCTGTCAGGTAAATATAACAATTATTCATGCTCAATTGAAGTCGTGAATTCCAAAACAGCATAAGTCCACATTCTAACGTTACCCATATGAATTATTGGTATAACCGTTTTCAGTTTATTCAAACCTATTTAATAATATCAACACTAAAACTACCAGATCAATAAAAATGACCCATCCGGAAATTACCATTTCATTCTGATCAAAACTGTGAAGATGCTCTTGTGGAAAATTATAAAGCAGATCTGTGTATTTGTGTGAATACATCAGCAGGAGGCGCTTGAAATTTCGAGGAATACATGTTTTTCATTTTTTTAAAACATCATGGAAGAATCTAATTGCTCGGTAGTTTTAGTGTTAAAAATATATACATAAAATAGAAAATGAATGAATGAACAACGATGAAAAGGAAGATTGATTTTCTCGAAATGCTGATTGGCTGACTTATACTGTTTCGGAATTCATGGCTTCAATTTATTTACATAAACATGACTGAATGTGAAAAAGTACAATTAGAATTCGATCATATAATACTGATGGTTTTCTTTGCGAATATCTCACAAAGTTTGTAAAGTTGTTCGCAGAATATGTGTAAGGAAAACATTGTGCAGATTAATGTCATCAAGAACGTATTAAAAAGTCTTTCACTTGATTCTATGCCAATACATACCAAATTAGCTTGTAATTATTTGCAGAGATGAAAATAATAACGAGGACGGTGACGAAGGGAAGAAGAGAAATATTAATGGTATGGAGGACATACTGGGAAGCATCAACGAAGATCGAAAGGAAATACCGGAAATTCTATTAATTTCGAATAATGGAGATCATCAGCAAGAGAGGAAACCACACAACGTAGAACTGATCAAATTTCTGGTGAATTTACGAAGCATTAATTATTGAGTTCCGCATGTATCAAGGATTTCATTTATTATTGTTATTTTCAGAGTGATAATTTGGAATGAGAGGGTTCCGACATTACTGTGAAATACAATGTAAAATAGAAATTGTCATAAATGTATCGTGACTCGACTAAAAAGAATATTATTTAAACCACCTAAATAGTGATTCTTTTCCTCGAATAAAGTTAAGTGACTGTCTTATCAATACTTGCATCCTCTTCCCCGTTACAAAAATTTAACCTTATGCATATACCTACATAGATACTTATAACGTTTTTCAACGTCATTGTTAATTTTTCGTATGCAAATTTCTTGTACAATAAGACAAACATTAACGTTATACCTTTGTGTTTGTAAATTTTATCGTTGGATATATATATAACTGATTTTAATTCGTAATTACTTCTTTACATTATTTCTTAGAGACTTGTTTGTACACAACCAACTAACTATGTTATAAATAAATGTGAAAATAATGTAGTTTCAAATGAACATTTATTAGTAATGATAGAACAAAGTTGTACGACGAAATAAAGAACATCATTGTGTTATTACACATTTACATTAATTAATTGTTCTATGTTAATGTTTCTGGTGATTAATGAATTGCAGGTACAGCCATATTCATTTATCATTAAGTTAGTTCTCGTATAATTTAACATCGTGATTAATACGTAAGTGTAGACACTATAAATAACCTCAGTAGAATAGTTTAAACATATACAAGTTCATCAACAGTTCAATCAATAAATTAACTTCCAAGTATGTGAACATGAGAAATGTTATTTAATCCTAAAATATGACCGTGTTATGTTGCAATATTATACTTACTATACTGTAATTACTATTAGAGTAAATACTTGCCAGCGAAAAGATTGCATCGCGTAACCGTTTAAACTCGATAAATATTGTAGGAACCTTGTGTTCGTGAAGATAAGGTATCTCCATCTCCTGTGACATATTTAACTTTGTTGTCTAACAATTCGAACATTTTACCATGGATGGCGCCACAGTCAATCTGATTGAACACCCACATCGGTAACATTTGTCTACCACGTTCAGCGTTTTGCCACGGATCTCGCTACTAGTCAAAAACGCAGATTTACAGAAACAGATAATTTTTGTCACTTTATGCATTATATGGTACGCCCACAACGGCAGATTATGTTATACTGTAATTAAAGAAGAAATTTCCCACGGCGATTCTTTGATGTTTTTTGTCTTGAGTTTAAGACTAACTTAAAAGAGTCTTATTTTTACCTTAAACTATGTATATATGGAGACGCTGAAAAACTATCGCACTGAGAGAGAAAAGAGTGAATCGAGAAAAAAATCCTAGATTGTCAAATAAGAAAAATTAGGGAAGAAGTCCCTGGTTAGAAAGAATAAATGAAGTTACTCGGCATACTGTAACATGTTCACTGCGGGCAATAATGTGCAGCTATTTTAGCTGCGAAGAATCACTGTTCGCAGTAATGCAAACTGCTTTTGTGGTTCTTATGGTTCCAGTGAATGACTTTGTAGCGTAGCACATAGTGCGGTGAACCTTAGTACACATATTCTATCTTACATTAAATATGTTATACATTAACGTTCGTCACGATTAACGATTAACGACTATATATATTATATATATAACCACCCTTAACACGCAAACATTGAATCTTATATACCAAAATACAAGATAGAAAAGATAGGTGTAATAAGGGGAATACCCAACGAAATCTCAATAGATGAACTAATTAACGAAACAGCAACACCATTGAAAATCAAGAAAGCAGTAAGGCAAAATAGGAAACAATCCTCCAATGAAAACACAGGAAGCTGGGAGTAGGTACCCAGTGAAACTATACTCGTAACATTCAAGGAAAATATACTCCCGAACCACATCAGGTTATACGGTCTCCTGAATGTACCGGTAGGTGTTTACGTTCCCCCAGTGCGGGTTTGTACTAACTATTTCAGATATGGTCACTCAACCAAGTTCTGCAGAAGCCCAGGACTATGTGAGCAATGCTATGAACCAAAAACCAAGACACACAACTGCTCCAAGGCAGGAGATACAAGCTGCCTACACTGTAAAAGAGCACATAGAACATTCTCCAGAGAATGCGAAAAATATAAGCAGAACATGGAAATCAATGAGATCGTGGCATATGAAGGAAAATCTTTCTTTGAAGCCAAAGAAAGCCTAGGAAACAAGCTCCAACTACAACAACTTCCAAATAAAACAATCAACCAAAATAATCAAATTCAGATGAATGGAACACGATTTTCCAGCCCTCCCAGAAATGAGGGCTAACAAAATTTGACAAAAAGAAGAAAAAACACACACCACACCCACAACACCCCAGACCCCCAAAAAGGAAAAATAACAACAATAAACAGGAAACAACACACTGCAGATGAAGACAAAGAAAACAAACAAACAAACATATAAGACAATAAAAAAATCAACCGATACAACCTAATAATGAAACTCCTTAACAGGAGTCACAGCATCAATGCAGAATAACAAAGAGCAAAAACAGGTAGGCAGATACAGAACCTACAAACAAAGAATATAACAGAAACCCCCAAACAGTACAAAGGATCAGCAAGCAAGTAAACAACATGGACAACCTCAAAATACTACTATAGAACTGCAGAAGTACCAAGAACAAACAAAAAATCCTACAAAAAATGAATTCAGACTACGAAGTGATAGTCTTGACTGAAACATGGTTTCAAGACAAACAAAATTTCAATTTAAAAAATTTTAAGATAATCCTAGGTATAACCATAGATCAAAAACTAACATTTGAAAACCACATACAAAACCTTAACGTCACATACCAAAAAATAATAAACATCATAAGATATCTCAGAGGAACTTGGTGGGGAGGCAGCCCCCAAACACTACTCACCATATACCAGGCCCTAATAAGATCAAGGATCGAATACAACTGCTGGTGGTATTACCTTGCCTAAAATAAAAAACTCAAACTTCTCTTAGAGAGAATACAGGTTAAAGCGACGAAACTAGCCTTAGGCTTGAGAACCTCCACACCCAATAATGTAACTCTGGCAGAGGCCAAAATACCAACCATAGAGGACAGAACCAGATACCTAGGGTTCAAGTACATCCTCAGGGCCTACACCAACAGATCTAACCCAATAGCAAAAAGACTAGAGGACCTAGCCATAGAACAAGAAGAACATCACAGCACAGCAGACAGGAGAGCAAACAGAAACAAAATGGTTCAATAGTGTTGGGAAAAGATATCACCATACCTACAGCACATTCAAATCAATGACACACCGACACACACATTGGCAAATCCCCATACACAAATCTACAAGATACCGCTTAACACTAACATAGGAGGCACATTACAGAATGCCCCAGATGTAAGGAAAATACTCTATAGCCTTATGGAAGAACAATACTCTGAACACACAGTAATCTATACAGATGGTTCCAAAATGAAGGACTCCCCATCTACAGGTATAGCATGTATATGCCCAGAATTAGGCTACAAAGAAATAGCCAGCATCAACCCCTTAGCTTCAATATATACAGCGGAAACAACAGCCATAAGAATGGCAATCGATCTAGCCAACCAAGACCATAGCAAAAGGTACTTCATCTGTACAAACTCCCTAAGCACAGCACAAGTATTAAACAGGAAAATGTTCACCAGCAACACCAGCCATCAAATCATAAGGGCCAAAAATAGTTTAGAAGCCTTCGAACAAAATACATTTACAGGAAATAAAATAAAATTTGTATGGATGCCCTCACATCACAACATACCCGGAAACGAAAGTGCAGATGAGGCAGCAAAAGAAGCAGCCAATAAAATCCACAATCTGGACATCCCCATCCCGTATGCAGACATTACACAGTTGCTGAAAGAAAGCATGTGGCATAACACCGAACAGAACTGGTTAAAGGAAGCAACAATCAAAGGCACAAAATAATTTAACGAATTTTATGAAAATAGCAAAAAGCCCTGGTTTTATAACAAGACACTTCCTCGATTCATCACCTCATGGGTATGCCGCTACCGGGCAAACCACTACAATCTAGCCACATCTCTAGGAAGAATAGGAATAACAAAGACCACAGAATGCCACTGTGGGTACAAAGAACAACATCTAAATCACATACTCTGGAATTGCCCAACCTATAGGAAAACCAGAGACAGATTAATTAGGAAACTCAGGCAGCAAGGATGGACACCACCATACAAAATCGAACCATTTATACAAGGACCAGACA